TATTTACTAATTATTCTATTCTCTTTTTATCAGAAATTTTTTTTATTTATTTTTTATTTTTATTTTTACTTAATATATAATTTTTTTTTGCTTTTTTTTTTACTTTTTTTTTTTGCTATTTTTTAAATCATTTTTTTTATTTATTTTTTTTTTATTCTCAATATACATTTTTTTTTAAATTATTTTTTTTTTTGTCTTGAGGAACGGAACTCTAAACACTTTAAGTCTATACATTTATTTTAAGTAGTGAGATCCAGTTCGTACTAAATATCAGCTGGAGACTCAAATTTTTTTGGGCTATTAGGTACTGACATCCTCGTCATGCAGCCTGAATACTATTTATAATAATAGTAGCAAACAAGTACTAATTTTATAAATTATAATAAATTTATTAATTCTTTTGTTTTCAGTATAAAATTAAAAAACATATAATTTTATTGTAAAAACCTTATAATTTTCAATGTAATAAAATATAATTTTTTATTATTATTTTTATATATTATTAATTAACAATTCCTTATACATCATATTTTATATAAGAAAATGTATTATGGAATTTTAAAAAACGTATACAAAACTTATTTATAATAATGAAAAAACGTATGCAAATTTTTTATAGGTAACAGCTCTTTAACAAATTAAAGGTAAATTTTGTATTTTGTATTTGTAATATTACTTAAAAAATTGATAATAAACTAAATTTTCACTAAATAAAAATAAACTTATGCAAATATGAGAATAATCTTAAAAATATTACATAATTAATAAATTTGTATTAGCTACTATATATTATATATTGAACTTTTCAAATTTCTGAAATATTAGTAATATCAACTCTATTAATAAGAGATTTAAGAGTAATTTGATATTTATCTGTATAATTTTCAAGGCAAGTAAAAGAATCATAATCATTAATCTTTTTTATAAAAAAAAATTAATTAAAATTATTAGTACTAAAAACTAATAACAATTTATTAATTAAATAATAATATACTGTATAAACTTATATTATTATAAGCATAATATTGATTAGAAGGAATTAATCTTGTATAATATTCAAAACAAATATCAATTTATGTTTTTCGAACAGAAAAAATCTTACTAGTTAAAATGTTTCTTAAATTTTCAACTAATTTAAAAAATATGAATAGCAGATAAAGAAATAATACTAAATGACAAATTAACTATAATATATACATTAATAAAATCAAATTTTAGTATTTCGAATAATTAAATAATTTAATTAATTTTATTTTAATCTAATCACTAATTCTAATTTCTAATCTTAATATCTAATTCTAATTCTAATCTTTAACTTTAATTCTGATCTCTAACCCTAATTTCTAATCTTAACCTTTAATTCTAATAATTCTAATTCTAACCTTTATTCTTTAATCTTAATTTTTAACCTTAACATCTAATTCTAATTCTAATTCTTAACCCTAATTCTGACCTCTATCTTTTAATCTTAATCTTTAACTCTAATTTCTAATTCAAATTTTAATATTAATATCTGACTAATCTTATAAATATTTATCTGATAAGTAAAGTATTTAACTTATTATTTTTTAATTGAATAAAGAATATTTTTTAAATATGATGCAGATTTAGAAAAGTTTATATATAATAAATAAAATATAATTCAAACTTCTTCAAATAATATATTATAGTAAATAAAAAACTATTCATAAATGTATTAAATTCTAAATTAAGTGAATACATTAAATCCTTTTTAATATTTTAAACTATGTGAAAAATGTAATATAAATATTATATAGTTAGAAATATAGTTTCAATTGCTAGTTTAATCCAGTATCACAATTAGAAAAAAATGTTTTAAGTGCTAAATTATTTGTTATTACTAAAAAATTATTAAGAATTCATATTTTTAATGAAGTTATTTTATCAAACATTAATGCTTGAGCTATTAATCTTGAATGATGATATTTATCAACACCTATAATAATAGGTGATATTTATTAATTTATGCTATATTATCTGTTAAAATAATATTATGATATTTTAAATAAAAAGTTTGTTGATAAAATATCATCCAAAATAGATAAAAAAAAGTCAATTTTTAACACAATGATAAGTTATAACAATATAGGATTATTTTTCTAAAATCTGTATTTTTCTTATGAAATTATTGAATAATATTAGTCAAATCTCTATCTAAAAAAAAATGATCTTTTAATTCATCTTAAAGAAGTTACTTTAATATATGTTAATTAATCTTATAAATTATATTCACATAAAATTTGATCTTATCTATTACAATTTGAGGAATTTGTCAATAAATATTAGTAAATTGAATTATTTTAGAATTAAGTGAATGATTATAATATGTGAAATTCATTTTAGTAATAGATGAATATTATAATTTAAGTGGTTAACATATATTAATAAAACAAGTGCAATAAGTCTTAATTGATTTTTTTTGTATTATTTTGAAGGATCAATTGCTATTTTTCTTAATATAAATTTGCTTGCATGTTTACATTCAAATACATATTTATATATACCTTCATTTTTATCTAAGAATTTATCTTGGATTTGTCATACGAAGCCAGTTAATTTTTCATAAGCCAATAATACTAAATTTGCATAGTCTCAGCTTTTTAATTATATTCTAACATTCATTTAGAAGCTTGATCAAAAGTACTATTAGGTATAATCAATTTTTCAAGTGAATGTCTTTTAGAAATTCCACTATAATTAGGAGTTTGTTGGATAGATGATTCTTTAAAAAATCTATTCTGTTTATTAAGAGGATAATCATCATCTTTAATATCAAATTTATATTCATTATCAGATTCATTTATTTTATGTACTAAAAAGTAGTAGTATTAAGTAAATCAAAAAAATTAAATTAATAAAAACAGCTTTATTACTTCTTTTGATATTCCTGAGAGTAAAGAAATAATATTAAGAATTTTTAGAAAAAAGAGAACAATTGTGGGAAAAATGATCAAAATGATCAAAATGATTAATATTCAAATTATTATAACATCATAGGATGATGATGTTTAATAAAATCATCAGAATGATTAAAACAAAAACTCATTTTTAATATGAAATCATATTTGAATTATAAAATAAAATTGATTTTTAGATAATCTAATGATAATTAAAAATTTAACTACAAAATAATTTATTTAACATATTTGAATAATTTATAATATAAATAACTGTAAATTATCAATATTTTTGTTCTTATTAGTAGAATAATTCTTAATTCTAATTTGTGTTCAACAATTATATTTATAATTAATCTTATTTTAGATTTCTAAATATCTTTCCCCTTTTTTAAAACAATTAAAACAATAACAGAAGATACGATTTATGCAAATAATATATCATTCGGATTTAAACTATTTTTGTCAAAAATATGTTTCTCCGTCTGAAGCACACCCGATAACAAATGAGTTAATAACTTGTTTTTCCAGATTTTTCTTTTTAAAGTTGAAACATCTTGATTTTAGGGGGGTAATTTTTTTTTTTTTTGAAACAATTCCATTCACAAAAATTGTATCCTGCATTAAAAACGTCACACAAGACTTGACTTTGTTAAGCTTAGCTTTTGGAATTTTGAATATTTGAATATTTGTACTATTAATTACTCAACACATCTTTACTCTAAAAGAAAGATTATAATTATTATGGTTTCTTTTTATGGTTTAGTTAAAAATAAATAAAGTGATCACAATCCTTTAAATATACAACAGGTTATACCATAAATAAACTATAAGTTTCGAATCTCGAGTTCAAAAATTGATCGAAATACGCCCACAGAGACAGTGTAATCATTATATTCTATTTTGGAATAGTTTTTTTGTTTTCTTTTTTTTTTTTTTAAATAGGACATTCCCAGCAAAGGTCAAAATATAAAAAAAAAAATATTTTCCCTTTTTTTTTTTTCGTCGTATCGTGTTTTTGTAATATTAATAATATATTTGAAACCATTTGTAAATTTTATATACTCTTAGAGATAAAAAGGTTTTTTTATATTATAAAATAAAATGCGGATAATAAGAAGGAATTTATCAACAAACTTATTTTCATTGCTTTTTGCAATTATATTATGTGTATTTCCATTATATACAACTGCACAAAATGCAAAAGTAAGAATATTTGCTCATGAAGAAACGATAGATTATGGACCAAAATCATTACCTCGTATATGGAAACAAAATACGTACGATGATGGCACAGCAGTAGTTAGAATTATTAGAAGAAATCCTGCAATTCAAGGACCAGTTTGTTTGATTGAAAAGCTTTTTTTAAGAATCATTCATCTTGATGGAACGGTTGATGAAAAAGATTTGGATTTAGGAATTCAACCATTTAACTATTGTTTATTTCAATCTAATAATTTAGGTGTAGATGGACAAACTGTTGAATTTATAGATTATTATTTGATTCGAAAGAATCAGATTTTAGTTACTTATCATAATGCAACAGATATTAATGATTATTATACATATGAAGAGTGGGGAATGGTAATTGATTTTGATGGTAACGTTAAAAGTAGAACTCTATTTGGATTCGCTTTCGTTGCGCCAGCAACTCAAATAATTACACCAAATACTAATATAAAATTAAATATTAATCGGGAAAAGGGATTTCTCAGAATTGCTACCGTTAGAAATACAACCAATGCAGAATGGCAACAATATAGAGTGGAACTTGATGGAACGATAACAAAATTAACTAGCGGAATGCTTGAATTTGATAATTTTAAGAGTTTAACTCAAAGTACTATCTCAACAGTTGATGAAGGTTACGCTATTGTATATGCGAAAACATCAGATGAAGGATTTAAACCATCAGATCCATTATCACCATTAAGTCAATTATTCTATTTATATATTGGATATAATCAATATCCGGTTGCACCTTTAACACTTTATCAAACTACCGTACCAAATGTAAATATTACTTCATTATATTGTGGTATCGCATCCATTGGAGTTGGTCAAGTTTGTACTTTGGCCGCAAGACAAATAGATACTGCAACTTCACAAGTAAATACTTTTTACGTTATGGTTAATTTCTTATCTTCTGGATCAGTTTCTTCTTTTAAAGTTATAAATCGCTTATTTCCCGCTATTGAGAACACTGTCAATAAAGGTATAGATTGGGTAGTAGCCAGTTTATCTTATGGCGGATATCTTTTAACAAATACTATTCGTGGAACTCCAGGGACTTTAGTTTATGGGTTTTTGTTTGGAGATGATGATGCAAATTATGTTGAGTGGGATTTAGAAGAACCTCAACCATCTAATACAAGAGGAGCAATTTCAATCTTAAATAATAATACTTTAATGTTGGCTCAATTTGAAACTGCTAATGCCTGGTCATTTAACGTAATTGATTTGCCTAAATTCTCTGATAGAGATAGTGGTTATGCCAATACCAATGTTGAAGCAACTTCGCCGTCGATTCAATCTTTTATAGATCCAGATTCACAAAAAACTATTAGAATCGATTTTTATGATCAAATTGAATTATCAAATGGTAATATCTCAATTTTTCAATTTGATGGTAATGATAAAAAGTTACGACAAATAATTCCTGGTAACTCGTGTACGTTAGAAAATGAAAGCAAATCTATTACTGCTTATGTATTGGATAGTACTTTTAGTTTGTCAAATGCAAATTATTTTATTACAATGGATAACAATTTTGTTAAAAATAAAGCGTATAAAGAACCTTTATTAGGTATAGGAGACAATATTTGGACGTTTAGCACCACTGAAGGAAAGAAACAAAAATTTGCTTCTTCAACATCTGGTCTAGTTCGTTTAACTGTTGATGGTACCAAAGTATATGATAGTTTATCTTCTGAAGATCAAGACAAATTTTTTAATACTTTATTAATAGAATTAGCTGATTCTATTCCTGTATCTCCAACACGTTTTCATTCAAATAAGAAGATACAGCCGGACAATACTCTAAAAGATAATCCATATTTTATTTCTATTGGTATTGAAGAAACTGAGGGTGGGAATGAGAAAAGTGTTGATTCTATTATTAAAATTCTTGAAACTATGATTAAATATAAAGATCAAACTCCAATTGGTATCGGTGAGGTTAGTAAATATTTGGACGCCTCTTATGGTTTTAATCCTAAACGTAAGTAAATAAATGTTTATGTGGTTTTCTTTTTTTTTTGTTTATTTGTTATTCACTTATCTGTTTTTGTTTTATATAATAGCGGATTTATGGGAAACATACAAATATAGATTATTAGGTGTATTTTTAGTTGTTGGACTTTTAATTATTTTATTCTTATTCGCTCAAAAAAGAGACAAAGCGGTACGCATATAACTTCGTTTTTATGAATTTATTTTACAATTGGTATTAACTTTTTAAATTCTTTTTAATTTTTAAGGGTAACAATTTTGCTATTTTACAACTTGGATTAATTCTTTTCGATTTGATCATGGATGTTCTGTTCGTAAGCAACAACTCCAGAGACATTCCATCGCTTTATATTCCAAGGTATGATGAATTTGCCTTTGTAATTAATTAATTATATCATTATTCATCTTTACTAACTTGTACTTTGTTTAATTAGTGTTATCTTTGTAACATTACCAATCGGATTAAATACAATATTAGCTTTTTACATTATAACGAAAGAAAATGCAGTACCAGAATTTTACAAATGGTTCACGAATAATGGAAAGGTTGCAAGCGTATTTACATTATTATCTGGTGCTGACATCGAAGCATTAAATATTTTACAGTCAAATTTAGCGGGTTTGCCATTTTTCCAAGCTCCTTTTTCTGATGGCGCTAAATCAAAAATATTTTGGAGTGCTTGTTTAAATGTTTTTATTGAAGATTTTCCTCAAGTTATAATTCAAGTAATTATTTTTTTTTCTTTTAAGTAAATAAATAAATAAATAATATATTGAGGAATTACTAATCATTGTTTCCATCGGTTTATTTTAGATTTATTATAGAATCAATACTGTGACTTATGATATTATTCCATTACTTACGTTAATTTCCTCAACATTAAATTTAATAGTAAATATAATAGGTAGATTATATCAAGCAACAAATCGTGTACGCCATGGAAAGAATAAAAATTCATATACTTCAGATGAAGAATTTGGTGGTTTAGATAACAAAAAGGTTTTAGAAAAATTGGAAGGTGATAAAACCACTTCTAGAGAAGTACCAAATTCAGTTTCGGAAAGACTTGCTCCAAATTATTTAGGTGATGTGTCAAAATTGGATAATGCTGAAGGATCGTCCAATAATTCAAATAGTAATCTAGGTAATGATTTCAATAAAAATCAAAATACAGGTAAATCATTCTTTAAAAGAATGGTTAATAAGAAGGTCTAACGAATTTGTGATGATATTATTATTGAAAAGACTTTTTTTTTTTTGTTTTTAAAAAAAATTGTATTTTAATTAATTTAAAAAAATATATTTATAATAATAAAATTTACCATTATCGAATATTCCCGAATAAATCACACTTTTTGTATTCTAATCTATAAGGAAATTAATTTTTAATACACACAGTTCTGTTAGTAACTCTCATTCCTAAACAAAAACCATATATTTTACACTCTGATTCAGAACAAGATCGCTTATCAAATTGCAAGTAAAATTCAAGAAATATATGACTAGTTGAAACATTGTAATGATGGATCAACTTTAGAAGAATTGCTATCATTAAAACACATGATAAAAAATAACTGCAGATATATAAGGAGATATTTAACAAATACATTCTATATAAAAGGTCAAAATTTACTTATTAGAATTAGTTTAAAATATCAAAAAGATGATCTTAAATTACAGATTGCAAATCTTTGATAGTATTACTCAGAATTTGAAATTATCAGATATTAGCTTAAGATTTAACTGAAAATGCATCCTTCTAAATAAATACATATAGAAGAAAAAAATTAAAGAAATAGTGATTATTTAAAAGGTTTAAGTTTAATTTTTATTTGCTTTTATTTTTATTTTTTTTTATTAGTTTACTAACTTTATTAAAACTGATTATATTGGAATTTTTAAAATGAATCTTTAAGAAGAATAGGATTCAATTCATAATACTTTATATAATTGTTAATACTAAAAGAAGTAAAATCAGAGAAAATTTGCTTTTCATCATAATATTTATATAAAACATAAGAATTTTAAAAATCTAATAAGTAAAATATAACATATCTATCTTTATTTTATATAAGAAAAGAAATTAAAACTTAAATAATAGATAGAGACTATTTTAATATTAATAACCTTAATAGATATCAGATCAATTATCATAATAAAATTCCAATTATCATATTTAGAGACTCTTGTTAAATTTAAATATTATATAAGATAATAAATATAAATTTATTCTTATTTTAATTTATTATTTACTTTTTTTAATGTCTTAATAAATAAAACTTTAAATACTTTAAATTTATATTATTTTATATAGCAAAATCTATTTTATATTTAACATTAGCTAAAAATTCAAAATTTTTTAGATTGTTAGAGTATTAACTTTCTTATATATATAAAAATAGCACTATATAACTAGTTATAACTGATGATAAATAAATATCACAGAGTTGTAACTAGTTGTAACTGGTGACAAATAAGCATTACATGATTATAACTAATTGTAATATCATTTTTACATATATAGCTTGAAATTTTTTAATTAATAATATAATATATATCACTTGCAAAAAATATTAATTTATTAAAAAATGTAAAATTTTTATAAAAACATTATAATTTTTAATGTAATAAATATTATTTTTATTATTTTTTTATATATTATTATTAAAAAATTTTTATAAATTATTTTTTATAAAAAAAGGTTAAAAAATATTCTTTATAAAATATAAGAAAGAATATATAGAATTTTAAAAAATGTATAAAAATTTATTTAAAATAATAAAAATATGTATACAAATTTTATAGGATATATTAGTTAAAATAAAAAATTTAGTTTAATAAAAATTTGGTTTATATTTGATCATAGTATTTAATCTAAATTAGTAATAATTTATATATAAATTTTATATTCAATCTATTTTAAAATATAATTCAAATATTATATTAATTTTATATTATTATTTAAAATAAAAAATTTTATTTAGCCAAATATATAATTATTATAAATAGAATTTTTGTTTAATGAAATAATAGCTAAATATTTTTAGAATTTAGATTTATCTAAAATTTTATATTTTGTAAGCATATATAAACTTAAAATATTATGTATTAAAATTATATTAATTCTATTATTTAGATAAAAGTTATTTATTTATTATAAGTTCTAATATTATATTATTTATATTTAAATGTTAATGAACTAATAATAAGTTAATAAGTTTGTATTATTAATAAAGTGAGTATTTTATTAAAAATATTTATTGAATAAAATTATATCATTATTTATAATAAATATATCAAATATATAATTTTATCAGTATAAATAGTTTTTAAATATAATTAATTGTAAGATTAATTAATAATACAAATATAATAAATTTGAAAAAATATTAAATTTAATTGAGAAAAATATTGATACTTTTTTTATCAAGATTTATAAATTTAGTTAAAATAAATGAATTTTTTATATTCTGTAATGAATAAATTGATCTAAAAATTTATACTTTAATATTTTTTTATTTATTTATTTTACTAAGAATTACTATCAAATTAAATAGTTTTTTAATATCTTATTTATATAAGTAATTGAATAATATTTAATTAGTAAATCATAAACAAAATTTTCTAAATAAATATTTTCTGCTTAATTAATTTGATAATTTTTTAAAGCTAGTAATCAGTAAATTTATTAAATTTTATAAATTTATTAAACTAATATATTTTGTCTATTAAAAATTTATTTATATTAAAAAAATCTTATAAAAAATCGATAAATCTCCTTAAATCATCCTAAATATTCATTATATTAATATTGCCAATTTTGAAAAAAAAAGAATAAAAAATCAGAAAAATCACAAAAATTCAACTTAAATTTCGTCCAATTTTGATGATTGAAGGCATGTTTCTATTATAAAAAGTAAAAAAAATCAGAAAATTAACTAAAATTCAACTTAAGTTTCGTCTAATTTTGATGGTTAGAGGCATGTTTCTATTATAAAAAGTAAAAAAAAAAATCAGAAAAATTAACTAAAACTTAAAGTTTCGTTTGATTTTAATAATTGAAGGTATATTTCTATTATAAAAAGTAAAAAAAACCACAAAAATTCAACTTAAGTTTCGTTTGATTTGATGGTTAAGGCATGTTTTTATTATAAAAAGCAAAAAAATCAGAAAAATTAACTAAAATTCA